ATTTAAAATATGTGATATTTTTAATCGTCTGCGGTTTATAAATATAAAGGGCGAAAAGACATTTCAGGCTGTTATATATTCTTTAGTTTCTTAATAACACTCTTTATAATATAAAAAAAAAACCCAACTTCTCAATCTGAAGTAGTCTGAACAAGCTTGGAGTCATGATTGCCTTCGTAATTCAAATTAATTTTACACAACCCTATTGATTTGAATCTATGAATACTTCTTCGATTATTATTTAATAAAAAAGAAGGTTACTTTAAGCATAAATAACAATTTTCTTCTAATGATTACACATTTGTGTTATTTTCGTTTTATAAGAATCTATTAAGATTTATTGCATAAAATATTTATCAGTAAAGATAAGTGCCATTTTTTTACTTTTTAAATGTTAGTTCCTACATCAATATTTATTTAGCATTGTAATTAAATTTTTTATCATCCTTTTAGAAAAATTTTATCTATACAATGTTGGCAACATTAAATTTGTAGGTAAAATATATTTTAAATAAAATAGTTTTAAAAGTGAGTTTTATTATTTATCAGCCACACATCCATGAAAACTTTAAAATGGATTTTATTTTAATCCATTGAACCATTTTTTTTAAAAAATATGTAGAAATCTAAGCAATATTGGTAAAAAAGTAATTCTTTTTTTAATAATATGGGTAAAAGAAAAACTCATTACATTAAAATGGTTTATTTTGCAAAATTGACAAATCTCACATGCAACACAAGTAACTCAGTTCACACGTATGAAACATCACAATCACATACAATTTACTACTTAAATAAATTATAATATCACTAAAGTCCATTATACAGTTTGTTAATCTTTGACTGCTTAAGTATTTTTCTCAGTGCTGAAACAAAAAGAACTTGATAAAGAACACAGATTTATATTTTTACTGTAGAACCTTATTACTAGCTGACGCCTGCAACTCCGTCCGCGCGGATTTAAAAAAAAGCAGCTGCTATGCAACTGTTCTGAAGATATATTATAGTTTTGACTATAATATATTTATGATATAGTAATATAGATGTGACAAAAAAATATTTTAGTTACTCATTACGATTCCACACATCTCTAATTGTAATTTATTTACGAACCTTCTTTATCTTCTTCAGAGAAGTCTTGTTTGGGGAACTCAATATCAAATGTGACATACAAGTTGCCGTGGAGGTTGTTATTTTCAAAGTTGGGCATGCCCTCTCCCTTCTTGCGTACCCGAGCCCCCGCCCATGTCACTTTGTCTCGGGAAACTGTCACTTTGTGGCCATCAAGATGTTCCAGCTCTAATGTGAAGCCAGTAAGGGCATCCTGTAAAATAAATGTTCAAATAATGCCAAATACTTAAGAAGGAATACAAGAGATTGATTCATTGAATAAGATTCCATTCCTTCTAAACACTAAAATAATCATACAATATTAATAACATTGACCATACTCACTAATTTTGAAGATAAGGTTTTATTATTACTACAATTTTTTTGTATAAAAGTTATCTTAATATAAAAATCAGCATTGAATATGTTAAAATAACTGTTTACCTGCAATGAAATTGTGACATTGGTGTACAAATCGTCACCTCGTCTAGTAAACTGATGATGCCTCTCTGTTTTAAATACAATCACCAAATCACCAGGGTCTCCGTCCATGTGTGGTTCACCCTCTCCTCTTAACCTAGTTTTGTAATTATCAGGCGCACCTACTTCAACCTAAAAAAAAATATTAATCGCAACATAGTACAAAAATAATTTAAAACCTTTACAAAAGATATTTGAACCCACTGTTATCTATACTTAATGTAACACACTGTAAAGTGATATTTTTGTTATATCTCTGTGTAAAATTTGTATTAACTCACTTCAATTTCCAACAGCCTTTCTTCATTTACCAGCTTTACATTGGGGCATTCATCACACACTGTTTGTTGCATCATTTGGAATCTTCCGGGCCCTAAATTCCTAGTCACCATTTCTTGCCTACAGTTACATTTGCGAGTACCAGATGCTGGTTTAATGACAGGTTTATTTCTTGTTATCTGTGAAAAAAGATTTACATTATTACATATTCATTTAGTTTCTTATTTTACATAACTAGATAAATTTTCACTCCTGTTTAGTACTGTGGTGAGATTTGCATTTCTTATTATCTTTATTACATCATAGGTATTGATTTTGGAAACACATTCAATACTCCCACTTTTATTTATTTACACAGAATAAGCAATAAAGAAATAACTATTCAAAGTAGATATAGATTTAAAAATACACTAAAGATTTCTAAATAATTACCTGTTATTTAAAAGACTAAATAATTATTGTTGTATAATTTGTGGCATTACTTACTTCTATAAAATTCCCATTATAGAGTTCCTCTAAAGACACAGTCAACTCCATGACAATGTCAGCACCACGAGGAGTCTCATGCTGCTGAGGCTCACCTCCGAAATGAAAGCCAAAGTCTCCGAAAAAGCTTGCAAATGGATCGTTGTTATTCATCATACCATCTTTCTTAAGACATTCCTCGCCGCACCTATCATACAATTCTCGCTTTTCAGGGTCCGAAAGAGCTTCATACGCCGCACCGAGGTCTTGAAACTTTTGTGATGCATCTGGATCATCCTGATTTTTGTCTGGATGTAAGGCTTTCGCAAGTTTTCTGTAAGCTTTCTTTATTTCATTGGTACTAGCTGAACGAGACACACCGAGTATTTGATAAAAATCACGGCCGGCTAATGTTAGCAAAATTGAAGATATTAGATAAATTAAACACACGTATGCTTTATTAATTAACATTTTGAATTGTCCTTCCCTAGTAACAGTTTAGAATAAAATTTGTTAACTTGAACTAATACGCCTGTTACACATTTTCATTTTTGACTTGACATGTAATATCATTTGACAAGTCTACTGAGACAATTCGTCTGGCTTTCATTGGGTAATTGCCTTCTAATAGAAAAAAGACATATTTCACAATCATAATGTTGTGTTTTTAGGCCATCACACCACGGCTTAAGGACTATATCTGGAACGATTACAGTAACCAATCAAATGCGGACTCGTACTTGTATAATGCTGCCATACTCAAAATTTCAAATATTTTAAATTTTAACTTTATTTTCACCAATGTAACTAGATAAATGGAATTTATGAAGTATAAAGATAAAAATAACGTTTGAGCGTATTTTAATTTGTAGCATAATGTATATCATTATATAAATTACACGCGGAGTCAAATGCAGGTACCCCTGGAAGCCTGCGCCGAGGTGCTGCAGCCACAACTCAAATGTTTAAAATAAAAAATGTCACGCTGTTACTAATGTCACTGTCATATCAAAAGCACAATTGCTGGCTCATGCTTATGATTATTCCAATTCATCGTGTCTGTGGTTTACTGCTTTTGTAATTGATATATGCTTTAAGTAATTGAATCTTAGTAAAACCCTTTCAACCAACACCATAAACTATGGCGTCTGTACTAATCCCTGAGGTACCAGCACCCGGATTCTCTTTTGAGAATTGTCAACGGTAAATTTTGACCAATTTTTATTTGATATTTAGAACAGTTTATAACTTAATATTAACCAAGGGATCTGTTTCAGCAATGCTTTCCTTGCTCAGAAAGGATTCCCTGCACCAAAAGCAACAAAAACCGGTACAACGATAGTAGGCATTATTTACGCGGACGGAGTAATTCTCGGAGCCGATACTAGAGCAACGGAGAACACTGTTGTTTCTGATAAAAATTGTCAAAAGATCCATTATTTGGCCTCTAACATGTATTGCTGTGGAGCGGGTACTGCAGCTGATACTGAAATGACCACCCAGACAGTAGCGTCGCAACTAGAATTGCAGCGTCTCCACACGGGCCGCACCGTACCAGTCGAAACCGCGTCGACACTTTTGAAGCGTATGCTGTTCCGCTACCAGGGCTACATTGGGGCTGCTCTTGTACTGGGTGGTGTTGACCGCACTGGGCCTCATATTTACTGTATCTACCCACATGGATCTGTTGATAAGCTTCCTTATGCAACTATGGGTAAAATATACTTTTAGATATAAATAGAAAATATATTATGTGGAAAATTAATTATTAGTGGTACAAATTCTGTTCTGTTTAGCAATAGTAAAATCCTTACATTTTCAAAAGTATATTTTCCGCTTTTAATTAACATGTTTTAATAAGTTTTTTTGACAGTATATCTTACATCTTTGTTTACAGGCTCTGGCTCCTTAGCAGCTATGGCAGTGTTTGAATCTGGATGGAAGCCCAACTTGTCTGAGGAAGAGGGTAAGAAGCTGGTCAGAGATGCAATTGCTGCCGGTATCTTCAATGACTTGGGTTCAGGATCTAATGTGGACTTGTGTGTTATTCGTAACTCTGGTCCAGCCCAGTACTTGAGAACATACGAAGAAGCTAATATCAAGGTAATTTATTGTTACCACACATAGAATCATTAGAATGCCAAACCACTATTTTTATTTTGATGTAAATAATCGGATAGGGAAGTCTCATGGATCATATTGTATATTAATACTCTGACAGTGCAAAAAAAAATGAGCTTATTATGGGCTACTATAATGTGCTTGTATACATCACCTACTTTTTAATTAAAATTGGTCCTGCTGTTTTTGGGTATTACCAAAAAATACATCATGTTTGCAATTTATTATGTGACTTATTCTAAATTAAATAATTATTTGCAGGGCAAGAAGCAGGGATCCTATAGGTATCCTATTGGCACTACTGCAGTGTTGAAACAACGTGTGATTCCATTAGAAGTCGAATCTGTTGCTGTGCACCCGGTGCAACCTATGGATGTGGAGCCTTCTCACAGCCGCCGTTAATTAACAATCTTCAATTATTTCTAATACATTTTTTGGAATACATATAGTTTTTTATTTATATAAGTAGTAAGTTATATACACATAAGATTTACTACAGCATAAGAGAAAAGGAAGTTAACACTAGACAATAATTTTTTTTAATGTTTATTAAAAATAATTAGGCTATTATATATAACAGGACAATAATAGAAAATTACTTCAAAAAATTTCATATAAATAAATAACAGCTTGACCATATCTTGCTTCATTGAACATTGATACATTCTGAAGCACATTGCTGATTTAAAACTGCAACTTTCTATGTCATAAAAAAGGCTTTAAACTCTTCACGCACTGCAACTCCTTCAGCACAATCCATGCTTGGTACTCTTTGTAGAGAAATCATGCCTTGATTTCTATCTCGCCAGGTTCCTAATGTGATTTCTCCACTGACTGGATTCATTTCGTCTAGAGATCCAGGTGGTGTATACAAATAGTGTGACTTTTCACTTTTCCTTAAAAAGTTGTGCAAATATACACAAGCTAGTGCAATTGTAGAAGCTTTTGGGGGGGAAACTAGAATAGATTGACGGAGTACTCGAAATCGTGCAGAAAGAATGCCAAAAGCATTTTCTACAACCACTCTACCCCTATTTAACCTGTAGTTGAACATCTTCTCTGGGTGGCCATTTATCTGATAATATGAATAAGGTTTTAATAAATGTTTGCTAAGTGCAAATGCATCATCACCAACTATAACATAAGGGGAAGGTTGGGTCCTACCTGGTAATGGTTTGGGCGGTGGCAAATTTAATGTATTATTTTGTAATGATCTGCATAAGTTAGTACTATTAAACACTTCACTGTCTGATATTTTACCTGGTGTTCCAACATCTACATATAGGAAATTATAATTAGCATCAACTAGACCTAAGAGCACAATGCTAAAATTTTTTCTATAATTAAGATAATCATTCCCATTCTTTGGTCTTATCATCTCTATATGCCTGCCATCTAGATGACCTATGCAGTGAGGTAAATTCCATTTTAACTTAAAATTTTGGGCAACATCCTCCCATCCCTCTGCAGTTGTTGGCATCTAGAACACAAAAAAAACACTTCTTAATTATTTTCATTCCATTCTAATAAAATTGTTGTACTCACACAAAAAAGAGGAAGAAATTATTGTTCTATAGTTTAAATCAATCATTTTTTGTACTTATCAATGGCCAGACATGTTATTTGACTGTTTAATTAACAAATCCAACAATAATTTATATATGTAAGTAAGAATAAAATATTGTTTTACTTACTTTGATATAGTCTGCTAGCACCTGAACAATAGCTTTACAAACCTCAGGTACAAATACACTTATTTTAGTTTTTGAGATTCTGCTTATTAACATCAAAGCTGTATATGTGTCTCCAGTTGCTAGATAACGTAGAGTCACTAACAACTGGTCCTTTGGTGAAATAGCCTGTCTAAAATTTGTGTCATGTTTTGTTATTTTTGGAGATACTTTTTGCAATAATATTTCCAAATCTTCTGGCGACATTCGTAAAGTATTTTTATAGCCGAGTGCATCTTGAATAACTAAATCATTGTAAAGAGAACTGCAAACACCATGGGTTTCCCTTTTCTTGAAAAAGTTACGCACCCATAATCTGGGTTTCCTTCTTTGTTGTATATAGGCAATACTGATACTTAAGAATAATAATTCTTCTTCGTCAGCTGAATCCATTTTATTATACTGTTTCGAGATAGTCCTGTCGAAAACATACAAAAGAACACTAATGATAAAACATCTTGCTTATAATAATAATGTCTTATTTTGTTTTGCGGTTACAAATTTTGTTTTGAGGGTCATCAGTTTGACAATTCATTTGACAATCCACTAGAGATGTTGAGTAGAATCGGTTATAAATCTTTTCGATTTTCGAAGATTATTGCATGAGCTAGCAATCGAAAATTTCGTGATTAATATTTTTGAATTACAATTTAAATTAGTTTCTCTCTTTTACAAGTTTATTCTTAAAAACTACGTAAAGAAATAAAATATTAAACCAAAAATTGAGGTAATACCAAAGAGTATATAAATGGTAATACAAAGAATTTTTTTGTCTTCTTTTTTTTTAGTATTTTTGCGATACTGAACTGGCGTAATGTGTATACTCTTTGATGTATACCAGGAGTTATGGCAGTTTTTTTGACATTATCAGTTCGTGAGGGCGGGCGGGCGCCTATAACTTTAGGGTTACCAGTAAGAAAATATTTCCTTATTGTAGCGATATTTGTGGTGAATTGAATGTTACGTTGTCTGAGTACAGGCTTTTCTGCTTTTTATTCCTTCTATGTATTTCTCCTAATTGATTATCTCACACGCACTTATTACACCAAATTCATCGATGCTTTTGATATCTTTAATGAGCATTATGATAGTTACGGGTAGGATCCATAATTATTTTAAAATAGCTGTATGATTCATGACATACAGCTTTTGTACCGATCGGCGACAGAGGGATTGGATTTCAAAAAGTATATTTGTAATGGTAGCATATATTATTTCTGTTATAAAAGTTTTGTACATAAACATTAATATTATGGACGGAATAAATGTATATATTAAAGCTCTCATTGTACAAATAAAGCTTACAGCTAAATGGAGCTGCATATTTTTATTAAAATTTATAAAATAAGTAGTTTGTTTAATGAAAGTAAGAACATTTTGTTCTAAAATCAACTTTTACAAATACTCAGACACAATGACTAAATTTAATATATGCCATAATTTGAGTATTAAAAAACGTTAGTTTATAAATAACGATGCTTATAAATTACTAAAAACTAAGAATATAAGTCAACCTCTCTTGTGCAGTATAAAGTCCCAAGTATCTTTCCATCTGAGATTCATAAGATCGTTTTCATTTAAATCTGTGTTGCCATAACTGAGAACACTAAATTTGATAAAAGTGAGCAAAACATATGCTAGCCAAACTGTTATGCCTATAATGAACACATTGTTTAATGCACGTGTTTTTTCTCTTAATTGTAACACAAAATATACATGATCTATTACATATGCTAGCAGTAATATCTTAAACATATAAGCAGGTAAATAGTGGTGTAAAAATAGCGTACGGTCCACAAAGAAATATGGAAGGTAATGCAGCCAGTACCCGAAGAAAAGAATGCACCCGGCGTTGTAAAATTGATGAGAAGATTGTAATGGCAAATCTTCGCACAAACGTCGCTGTCTTATAGCATATAGTGCCAGAAAAGCGCTGTATAGTAAAACCGACAATGTTCCCGCGTACCACGTCACGATGTTCCCGATCAGATGAATCTGCGCCTGTTAACAACAAGATACAATGAAGGAAAATCATGCTCCGATATTTTATATTTTTTCTTTCCATTCCACTGTAAAGCCTATAAGAATGTTATCAATAGTAGAAAATCTTACATTAGAATGCGGCGACAACCAGTAAGCAATGGATCTGGAGAGAACGGGCCATTCCGTGGGCTCGCTGGCGAACATGTGACCGCTGGGCGCGTCAGGCGCGTGTGCTATCATCTTGTACTGCAGCTCCATGAACTTAGCCCAAAACGACAGCTGCGTGACGGCCGTTGGAATCATTTCCGCCGATACTAGCTCCCGTTCCCGCTCGCGTCTGTCTTCCGCTGCAAAATGTAGGGTAGATGCTTATTATTTGTTAGAAACCAAATAGCATGGCATATTTGCATACTTAGCATACCACGCCTGTATACTACATATTGACATAGAAAGGCCATCAATCATCAGATCTTACCTTTTGTGTATCGATGTTCTTCAACATTCCATATAGTGTCCTGATGCGTCACAACTTTATCTGCGACGACTTCGTGCTGGTGGAAGCCCCATGAGGGTAGTTGTCTCCCGCTGAACCGTAGCGCCGAGCCTGAGTCCACGTGTATAAGTCGCACGAGGGACCTGATGCTGTCCCACGTCGCATCCTCGTTGTCTCGGTTCACAATCTCTACTCGCCACAGGTTCTGGGCTGACATTGACACATTGTAGTCAATGTAGCAAGACACCTCCTGTGCAAAAATAAAGGTATACATTTTAAAAGTAAATCATACTGTATCTTGCCAGTGCTGTAATAATCCTATAAAATCATAGTGTCATTGCCTGTGATTGTGGCGATACAGGTGCGGCGACGTCATGTGAGTTCAACGCACGACTGGTGATCCCATGCAGTAGTTGCACAACATCACCGTGCCGAATGGCGTCGGGAGGGTTAGTGACTGCCAGCGAGGCCTGGTCAGGTCGCTTTACTATCCACCAGTTATTGACATCTTTGAAACTGTAGCAGGTGACTTGCTGTTGATGTGAAGAGCCTCGGCCGTCGGTGTAGCGCACCGGATAGACATGAGCATGGGAGTGTAACCAACATGTTCGGCCATGAGAATGTCTGGTTAAGTAATAATATGTTGTAGTATAAATGTAGGCACATCATTAATTCATTAATTATAAAATAAAAACAAATGAGTTCTGTACCTTAAAGTTATTTGTGATCCATGTGAAACATGAAGAGGCTGTCCCCTTGTTATGCTAGCAAGTCCTCCTTGGAGAGAGGCTTGAAATGCACTTGTCATCACACTATCATGTGGCCCAGCCTTTGGTAGCATTGCCAAATGTGCATAAAATACACCTATGTATACAATGAGTGGTATTGTTACTAATACAAATGATCGCCAAATAATTGACAAGGCAATGCGGAATGTAGACTCAGTACTACTAATTCTTTGCCACATTTGTCTTCCAACTAAAAAAAGTGCTAAATAATATGTATAAATTCCTGAATATTTGATTCTGAAAAAAAGTGTCAAAACATGTAATATTTGAAACATTAAATAATATTATTTGAAGCAGGTGACAATTTCTATGAATGAATACTCACGAAAAACAACATCCTAGAGAAATAGCTCCAACACAAAGCCACAGTACAGATGAGGTGCCAGTCTTAGTAGTGCTTTTGATTACACAATAAATTCCACACAAACCAAACAACAGTAGTATGCTCTCCAACAACATAAACCTAGACTGTGTCAGAAAACAATTCTCTGAAAATTAGAGACAAAAAAAATTATAAGCTAATGTAAATCTCTAATAATTGTCTATAATATTGAAAAATTATACAGACCAAATAGAACTAAAAGTGCCGCAAGAATGGCTGTCCATTGATATGTTGAAATTTCTAACATCAATTGATAAGTAATGCCAACGAGCAGACTACCACTAATAGCTGGAACCATTCGTAATGCCCTGATAGGCACAGACTCCGTATAGGGTGACCCTATTCTATCAAAGGTGAAATTTCCATTGTAGCCTCCAAGCCGACCCGCCAAATATAACAATTGTTTACCAAGTGGTGGGTGTGCATCAAAAAAGAATATTCCCTTAGTATATAGTGATACATATCTGCCATAATGTAATTCATCAAATCTGAAATTTACAAAAACATATTACTTAGATCATTATTTCAACAATAATCTTTGGAAATATTTAAAAATTTAATAACCATGACAACATTTAAAGTTATGATTTTTCAAAGTCCTTTATACATTACGGGAAGACAAAAGAATTCGATCAAAGATTAATATAATAAAATTGAAACATACACAATGTAACGGGGCTCCTCTAAATTGTATGTACGAGTCCATAGTGCAAGTCCCAATAACAATAAAAACACAACATCTATTTCAAACTTTAAGTAAAAGCCTTTTGGGCTTTTTTGAGAGCTTTTGGAACTGGCTGCAGTAAATAATGAAGAGGATTCAATATCGTTTTCCGTAATTGTTCCATCGACCTGAATTGTACAAAAAACTGTTTATTATTGTTTCTACTCACGAAAAAAATTAATTGTTTTGCAAAATAACGCACAACTTCTCTACTTGCTAGTTCAGGTGATTCTTTTAAAAACTTTTCTCCTAGTTCGTTGACCTCAATAGATTTTTTTTTATCTTTACGTTTTCGTACACTTTTGTCTATATCCATTCCGCAGCTTCGATTTCCCTGCGTAATATACTATAACTTAAAATGAAACAAAAAGCTTAAATAGTGTCAACAAAATTAAAATAAGAGATTTGTAACATAACTGTACATTTGCATTTTACAACTTTCAAATTTTGGCGTTTGACAAGAAGCAAAGAGTATGCGTACTACATACGGACATTCAGCAGCGAATGGCGGTGATAGTGGCGCTAACTGATGACCATGACTGTTAGAAAATCTTACTAACATTATAAACTAGCTGTCGCCCGTGACCCCGTCCGCGCTTTATTAAATAAAAAAATAAAGTGACGCCGTCCGCGCTTCATTAAATAAAAAAATAAATAGTAGCCTATGTGTTCTTCCAGACTTTGTTCTATATGTATGCCAAATTTCATCGAGATCCGTTTAGCCGTTCTGGAAATACCTACAAACCAACATCCAGTCATCCAAACATTCGTATTAAAAATATTAGTAAGATAAGAATGTTTAGATAGATGGATTTTTGTTTGGTTGAAGGAAATTCGGCAAGGATGCAGAAAATAGTATGGAATAACACATAAGCTTACTAAGTTTACACTTAAGTTTTTTTTTAATTCCGCGCGGACAGCTAGATAACATATTATCATTTACTCGTTGAAATAATTTTTTGTGTCAACGCCACTTGTCATGTCAAGCGTGTCATAACAAAATTCATAATTTATTTTAATCAGAACTGTTAACCACCTTTTACAACCAAAAGATAATTAATATAAACTTATATGAGTTTATTTAATAATCGAAGTATGGTTCGGATTTTATTATAGATAAATAAGTTATTTAAAGTATAAAAACAGTTACTATAAAAGTCTTGTGTACAATTTAATTATTTAAAAAATGTCTAATCACAATAATAA